TATGTTCCTATTATAGCATCTCTTGAACAAATAATGACTGACAATAAAGACGATGGTTCAATGGCTCGCTCATTCCATAAAAAAATGTGCGATTTTGAATTTATTATTACTCTATTTACTGTTGACAAATTGACAAATTGTTAAGTACAACATACCAAGTATTTGTTAATCTCCAAAAGCCTAATATTGATTTATGTACAGCTGTTGAAAGTATAGAAGTTGTTCAATCAGTCATCAGTGAGATAAGATCAAATTTCGAGAGAAAATTTAAAGAATTATTTAAATTTGCCCCCTTAATGTAACCAAGGGAGGGGTGGAGGCTAAGAGGGCAATATATTATGATTTATGGGGTCTCCCTGTGTCGTGTTGGTCGTAAGGACCTACATTTATGTATGTCCGTAACAATATAAAGAATTTGCATACTTTATTAATGACATTTTCATATATATTCCAAGTGCACCAATAGTAAAAATTCACAGCAAATCCAATGGTTTAATATCTGAATTCAGAAATTGAATAACTGATCAGTAAAAATCTAAATCTTTCAGCAAACAAATAAAACAATTATTAATTAAAGGAAATATTATTATAAGTTAAACATTTAATTAATTAGTTTCAGAATACCTTAAAATAACTCCAGTGACAATTCATGAAACATATTCAAAATCCATTTATTTTATAATTTTTTTTTAATCATTATTTTTTTGCCATTTAGCATGATTTTTTCATCAAAATTGTTTCTCTGTGAAAATTATATCATTGATTTGAATAGCCAGTATTGAAGTCGTTGAAGATCTATTATGACTATACATTAAACAACAAAATTAAAATTGTTGAACTTTACCAGTTCTTCCAAGGTGAAAGGAAAACGAATTGAAAACACATATTATTTAAATGTTTCTTATTGTTTTACAAAATACATAATAGGAAGAATTCAATGCTCAAAAAAATATACGGATACCAAATTACTACACTAATATGAATAGTTACACACTCGCGTGCAACTAACTGAACTCACCCTTGTACTGTGCACAAAGGTTAGGTTAGGCACCATTATTAGTCTTCATGTCTCATAGAAACCGTTTTACAAAGATATTCTTTTTTGTGAATACAAAAGGGGTGAGTCAATTACGTTGCACGCGTGAAATCAAGAAGATCAAGCAAACATTTGTCGGATAAATTAATGGTCATGATTTTTGACTACGAACTTTTGTTACGATCATCAAGATAGATAAGAATAATACGACATTTTCGACATTGTTCAGGAGCTGGGTAGACAAAATATAATAAGTATTAGCAATACATATTTGAGGATAGACATCTCATTGTGCAAATTGAACATCAGCAATATGTTTTTAAGGAATTAGAATAGGCAATTCTGCGTACAAATTGACAATCGGCAATAGATTTTTGGAGCCCCTGGTCTTTCTTATCAAATATTGCTAGCGGAACGTACATCTAAATCTATTAAGTGTAACGGGTTTTATAAGGTGAAATACCTTTGAAACGTGAAATTGTTGACAATGGTCAGTTGAAAATGATTATGTACTTATTTATTATTCATTGATCGTGTTTAAAATTAAAAATATCTCTTCGCGGCTGGCTGGTGCACAATTGGAAAAGTTAGTGTTTGGTCTATTGGATAATTATTATACCTTGATTTCTATGATTTACGTAATATTTTAGTTGATCGCCGTTAATCACAAGTTGTACTCAAATTGTGTGCCCAAGTCACACTTCAAATTTGAATACTAATACAGCTATGAAAGGCTATAAAATTACTAATTGTGCGCAAGACAAGAGAGTCGGCATCGTTGGCAGTTCAATGAACGATATTTTTATTAAAGGATGTCAGAAATTAAAGGTAACCATAGATATTCGTTTGTATAATATTGAATATGTATACATTATTTTTAACTTGGCTTAAATATATTATATTGATTAAATGAACCTGCAGAGAATTGAATGAAAACAATATACCTAACAATGATAAATAACTAAAAATACTTGTTTTATTGCAATTTCAATACGATATATATTTTTTTTAAAGGGTTTCAGTAACCTTAAGTCATATTTTATAGTATTAAATCAATCTGTCAATAAATCATAGATTTATATTAAAATGTTCATAAGTGTTCATTGTTTTTAATAAACACATGTTAATAAAATTTGTACGATTAACATTGTATTCACCTTACTAATCATATTTATATCAATAATATACTTAAAGCCTAGAGGTTATATCTTCTGTTGTGTATCATATTCTTGTTGTAGTACAACATATAAAAACAAGATTTTTAATTTAAATTAAATGTCTTTTTAGAATAATTGTTATTTGTTTAAGAATAATAATAGTTGTTACGTTTTTTAATAATGTAATAATTATAAAATTATTTTAATTGCATTCATATATTTTTTATTTTCCTATTGATAAACGTTATATAATATTATTATAATTTTAAATCATATTCATAACACTATAAATAATATATAAATAATTGTATAGATGGATAGTACACATGTGACTATGTTGTTACTTGATGGTACAATAATAGATGATGAAGATTATTTTCAAACGTTGCCAGCACAAACATTAATAATGTTTCGTTTGGATGGGGAACCTTTTCAAACAGGTATTTGATTTATGGCTTATTAAATGTCATCACAAACTGTTCCTTTAATGACTTGTCGAACAGGTGTCATGTATATTTTCACATTGATTAAACTTTGATCATATTCTTTTTTATTGTATGTAGGAAATGTATTTGATAACACCCAAAGATTACCTGTACGATCAACCCTTACGTCTGCTGGATACATGTCACTGCTTTTATCTAAATTGATTGTACCTTGTGTTAATTCATTATATTCATCTCCACTGTAAATTAGTAAACTACAATCATTATACATTAAGGTTTATTTTTTTTTCAATACAATTAATTAATAAAATAATAAAAAATAAATAAAAATTAAAAATTATTAAATGGTAATAAAATAATAAAATAAAAATTATTAAATGGTTAATATTCGTAAATTAATATATAAATAAAAGTTTATCATGGAATATTACTAATATTTGTAAGGTATAAATAGTTTCATTTGCTTATTTATATATTATTTATTTATTTAGCTATATAACAATTTATTAGTTACCCATATGAATTCCAACAGCCAATAACGTTTTTCAACAGGAAACCATAAAATAATACACCTGTTTCTATATCAAAAGATGATGATGTTGCTTGTTTATTAGTGCCTCTTCTCCCCATTACTTTAAAGTCATATACATTTACATTTATATCAAAATTCTCATTGCGCAATGTTTTTGTATTGACAGCGAATCCCATTGTACTGGCAGTGCTATGAAAATAAGCAGTTCTAAATCCATCCCTTGCCATTGGTGAAAGTGCTATCCCATATAATCCTTTCTGAGACTGATAATGTACTTCTCCCAAGTTTATATCTCCACATAAAGGATCAAAGTGAAAAAAGTTATGCGTTAAAGCATATGATTCATTAGATTTCCAGTTGTATACCAATAACCGATAAGTATCACTGTCAGGTATGTATGCATATGGTTCGTCACAAGTTGAAGAGGTTACATCTACTTCTAAATTGCTGAAATCTGAATTTAAATTGGCCAAATTTCCGAAGTTAAATGTTCTCATATGCAAGTCAGTTTTTAAGTCATACACATGTAAAACAGGAGCACTTTCTTGTTTGTTATTTATCCTTCCATTATCTAATACCCATAAACGATCACAAACATCAGCTCTTACCTTTATTATTGAAGTCAAATTATGCTCAGATATTTTATGAGATTTTTGATCAGGATAAGGAATTAAAATTGGTGTATTATTTTTTTTACTTTCCAAATCTAAATAAAAATATAATTTCATTTTTAAATTAATTATAAATAATACTTACGTATTTGATTACTTAGTATCTAATATATTATATATTTTACTTGTAATATTTATGTAAGATAATGTCACCGGTACATCAAGCTTGAATCTGGGTGTAACCAAAAATAATTTATCTTGCCATCTTTCCAAAGCCATGGGCATAACATTAGCTGGTTCAAGCTTACTGTTATTTGTAAATATTTTTTTAGAGAATGAAAAATGAATTTCTTTTAAATTTAAAACTTCTTTCATTTTGGAACTCCATGCAGTTGCGTACAGAAAGGATAGCATTAAAATTAAATTACACATTATGCTCATTTTATGAAAATTTACAAATAAATAAATGAGTTTATATTCAAATATTTTTATGTTTATATAGTTTTTTCTCGCTCAACCATTACTTTTAAATATTGTTGTATAACAATGAATATAATTTATCAAGAAGTAATTGTCAACATTTTTAATTCCATTAGTATTCAATCAAGTAATTTATTAATATTAAATAATAAGTAACTTCCTCTGTTTGTATAAATAATGTATTGTTTAAAACTGAAATAAATAACCATTCATTTCTCTTTGTTAAAGATAAAAAAAATATCAATGAATTATTGTCTATTTTCTAATGAAAATAAAATTGTACATTAATTTCACTTAACATTTTATACTATGGATGAACTATTAAATAATTTAATTTAAAATTTAAAATGGATATTTTTGATGTTATAGTTTAAAAAATATAACATGTTTATATTAAATAAGTTTTCTCTATTTTTAACTAAAATTAATATTTCCATGAAAAAAAACTTT